TGATCCAGTATTTACTTTCAAATACTTCAACATGTCTCATTTTTTATGTATAGGGTAACTTTAATTTACATTCCCAGTAGAGACAGTCGGGAAGTTGCCCCAGTCTCAAACAGTACTCTGAAGATGGTTAGCTGCCATTTTTCCCAAAAGCTACCCTAGGAAACTCTCATTGTATGTGCTTCCCTGCATTTATTTATTTATTTATTTATTTATTTATTTATTTATTTATGTGTGTGTGTGTGTATGGAGCTTTGTGCACAGGAGTTCAGGTGCCTGCAGAGGCCAGTAAAGAGCCTAGATTCCCTGTCACCAGCATTACAGGAAGTTGTAAGGGCCAAACATAGTTGTTGGGTACCAAAGTCTAGTCCTCTGAAAGAGCAGCAAGCATTCTTAATTTCTGAGATTCATTTCCAGTCCCATCATCTACTTTTGCTTAATCAACAACAGAACTTTGTTAGCTATAATGCATGTACAGTTGGGTGCTCATTAATGTTCAAGGCAGATGTTGCCCCCTGTCTTCTAACTCAGAGCCCCTCACAGACTGCCTGGGGACATTCAGAAGCACACAGCGTAGAATTTCAAAGGATCTCTCCGGTTTTCTGTTTAACAGCCTTAGCCTAAAGTCATCCTGTCCTACTAGGTAGCCTGAATAGTTTAGGTGACCAGAATGCCACCTAAAAATTACGATGGAAGACCAGAACATGCTACAGCACATGTATCTCTCTAGCATTTGTACTATTTTGGGGTGATTGTTTTGGAAATGTAGCAATGGCAATTAAAGAAGAGGAGATCTCAAAGCTGACAAGGAGTGGGGGGTGACTGGCAAAAGAGAATGGGGAGAAGCAATGTAAACGGTAGTCGGTCATGCATGAAATTCCCAAACATTATAATAAAATAAAGGTGTGCTTTCTGCTTCGTCAGACCAGGAGGATGATTAACAAGTTATTTTTAAGTGCACCAAATATCAGGAGATATATTCGGATTAGATTATGCCGTGTGTGACTGATTGGCAGGCCCTGGAATGTGGGAAGTTCACAATCTTGTCTTGATCAGCAGTGTTTGCAAAGCAGGCCTGGAAGGCATGGCCCCCAACCCATAAAGTATGAAGCGAGCAGAAGCTAATTAGAAATGTGATAAGCAATGATTAGGCAGTTACTTCAGGGGGAAAATGAACAAGATGAGCGGATGTCAACTGAGGTAGCCTCTGCGGAAAAGATAGGCAGGCTTGTTTAGATGGAAAGTTCCCTGCCTGTCACCAGGGGAGGCAGGTTCCCTCCAGATGGGGTCATTAGCATGTCATTTGCACACAGAGTTTTCTTTAAAAAAGGAAAAGGTCACCACAACACTAGAACTCCTAGGGACCAGCAAGTCCTGCCTGCATTTAAAAGACAGTGATTGGCAGAAGGGATGGGTTCCCTGCAGAGGGTGCTTGGAGGGCTGTTGCCAACTGCTAATACTCCTGACCTCCCTTGCCAGAACTGAAATGACCAGGGTGGAACAGCCTGAAGGAGGGTCAGAAGACTTTGGCTTGTTTGGGCTGGGGCTCTCGGGTCTGAGCCCAGAGACCTTGTGCATTTGGCTGAGGGGAGGCTTTCTCTTCCTGTGCTCTGCTTGGTGGCTCCCCTCCCTTCAGTGCTGAGGGCACCCTGCCCTCCTCTGGTTTGTCTAGGGCTGTTTGAGGCTATATGTCCCCTAGAGGACTCTTGAGCCCTAGCTGGTGGTGGGATTTTGGAAAGCTGTGGAACCTTAAGGAGGTGGAGCCTCCCTGGAGAAGTGGGTCACAGGGTCCCCTTGCAGCTTTGTTGCCAGCGTCCACTTCTGACTTTTTCTTTATGAGTCTGGACACAACAGGACCACCCGCCTCCTGTTCCTGCTGCCATATCTGTAAAACCCACTGAACTAGAATAAGACCACTATCACAATACAATTTTGAGCAAGCTTTAATTATATACTGACCAGGATGACAGACTCTGGCCGGGTCCATTCCTGGATTCTCAGAAAATGAAGATGAGTCACATTTTGAAGATTCTTAAAAAGGCAAACCCATAATTCCATGGGCTTCCCACCAGGTCCAATCAGGGGCAAGTGTACATCCTGAAATACCTCCAGCCTACATCCAACTGGGTTATGGAACACCCTGACCTTCACTGCCCATGTATCTCCTGCCTGCATGTGATCAAACACATGTGGTGCATTGAGTCAAATAAACTCGTTTAGGAGAAAACAAGTGGCTTGTTACCTTCCATAAAAAAACAGCCCCTAGCATTTCAGGAAGTATCTGTCCTTGGGCAAGGGGCTTATAGGTTAGGGCATTTTTGTTTCATGGATCTCTTAGGCACAGTAATTAAAACTTAAAACATAACTGTGGCTCTCACCTATCGTTCACTGCCAACCATAATGGACTGTGTCACCTTGAACTGTAAGCCCAAAGAAACCCTTCCTCCCTGCTTGTCAGGTATTTGATCCCAGCGACCAGAAAAGTCACACAGCTCACGAAAAGTCAGATGACTGAGCCTTCCAGGGCTCTGTGTTACTGCTGCTTGCCTCACTGGTGTTCAAGGTGGACAGTTTGATTCCAGAGCCTGGCTGTCGTCATTAAAATACCCTTGTAACTGGAGTAGGAACTGAATGGAAATATCCAGATGAACATACAAAAGAAGCCAGCCAGCCTGCACAGGAAAACTGGAAGCCCATGCTTACCTGAGCTTCATCCAAGGAACAGAGCATGTGCAGAGGGTGGGGTCAGTATAGGGAGGGTCCCCTCAGGATCAAGTAGGAGAGGCAAGGACTACGAAAGCCCTGCAAAAGGCTATAGACTAGACAGTCAGAGGTTTTGGGGGCCACTTCCATTCCTGATTTAAAAAGCCGTTTCTATTTTTAGACAAGAATTGACAGCCCTCAAAACTCATTTCCTGCGATTGCCATGAAGTACTGTTATCTCCCGATGACTTGAAAAAACAAAGTCAATTTTTTGCTCATGTATCATTCAAGAAATAACATTTGTGAAAGCCCAGGCTTCACGTTCTACTGTCCTTCTAATACCCGTTGAAATAAAGGCATATTAGCTAAAAACAAAACAAGACAAAAGCATGCCTTTGATGGCTGGCATATTGTGAAACTTTGGGTACCAGATCACAGCTCACACCTGAAGAAATGCTATGCACACTCAGCACAGCTCACACCTGAAGAAACGCTATGCACACTCAGCCACTCATTCCCCCATTCTTCTCTCAGCAAGCATGTCTTCAGACTTACTAGGGGAGTGCTCGGCAGATTAAGCTGTCCAGGAAAGAACATGCTGGCTCTCCGGGAGCAAACAGACGTGGGGAGGCAGATACAAACACATAAATGTAGAAGGACTACATCACCCTATGGTGTGGCCTCTTTGCCCCACTGGGCTGGCCACTTTTAATCAGGAGACAACATTTTTGAAACACAGAAAAGCAAGCTCTCCAGTTACTCAGAATTCTGATTCCTGAATAACTGGGCTTTGCCCCTGATTGTACCTGGTGGGCCTGTGTTCTGAGAATTCAATTCTTCCTTGGGAGTGGGCATCCTCCCTGCCTCCTGGAGGAGGGAGGAGCAGGGCTAATGATCACCTAGTAAGTGTTTTGTTTATATTGTCAATACTCAGGTAGGCAGACTCTTTCTGGCCCCTGGCCTGTACCATGTGTTTCCTTCCCTGTGTTTTTAATGCTATCTAGGATATTCCTATCAATATGCATTTATACAAAGCAGCCACTTAATATCCACCAAGATGCATGGAGGGGTCTCCAAGCCCAAAACAGGAATTCAAAGCTTTGTATGGACTACCAGGGGCACACGGGCAGTCACTAGCACACTAGTAAGAGGAAGGAGAACACACGGAAGCAGACATATGTGACAATCTTGGAACATTCACGTGGGCCAAAGCAGTTCCTGGGATGGGGGGAGAGAGGCCATGCTGGCACAGCAAGAGCCACGATGGCTGGACACAGGGATGACAAGGGACAGCAGGGCTGCCAACCCCACCGCTTCATCTCTCATTAGTGGTTCTCTGTCAGGCGTTATCTTTTTGTTGTTTGTGTGCTTGTGTGAACACATGCTCGTGAGCATGCGAAGATTTGGCTGGGGAGGCCAGAGATAAACCTCCCTCCACTGCTGCTCCTTAGACCTTGACACAGTCTCTTCATGGAGACCTGGGGCTCAGGTAGGCTAGGGTGGTTGACCAGAAAGCCCCAAGGAACATGCCTCTGCCTCCCCAGCTGGGGTTATAAGCCAATGACATCACCTGTTGCTTTTTTTGCTTTGATCTGAGGGTCAAGCTTTTTTCCTTGTTCTTAAAAGACTGTCCTATCTCTCCTAAGTCTGTTGTAGAATACTCTTCTCACAATGTAAGAGCCAATTCTGTCTTCATCAGAACAGCTGTGGACTACCTACAAGGGATCTCCAAGGCTGGGTCTGCTGCCCTCCCTCACAGAAGTACAGGGTGGGCAGTGTCATCATTACATACATCTGGGAGGCGGTAACAGAAGGAGGGACAGATCCCCACCTTAGATTCTGGCCTTCCATCACCTCCTTCCCAGATAATTCTGGTCAATGCACAGGGATTTCAGGGTCTCAGGAGGTGCTGGAGTTTGCGGATGGAGGAAGGTTAACTGGAGGGGGGCTCAGTCTATGCAGCTATGGGGAAGCCATCATCCACACAGAGGTGAGACTCTTCTCCTCTCACTTACCCGGTACCATACTCCAGACGTAAGCATGCTAACTCATTTGCTCACCAAGTGGGACTTGGATGGAATCATTGCTTTGTTTTTGTCACTGGCACCATAATCTGAGGTGAGCAGACCTGGTGTGTGCCTGTGCCCAGGGAAAATGCGCTCGCAACAATGCTAAAAGACAACCTACATGGAAAAGTCAGGAAGGATTTGTAGATGCCATTTTCTGCCATGCTGCAGAATAAATAATCCAGTGTGCAAAGTGGGTTTAGCTACGGGGAATAACAACAAGGGGCAAGGCCATCCATGAACTTTTGATTTATTTGATCTACTAGATGTTTTTATTTATATAAAAGACAAATGGCATAGAATGAAAATAAGTGCTTTAGATTTTGGTATAAAAAGAATATTGTGCATTCACATTCCTATTTTAATACATGAGTATGGCTGAAGTGTTCGATAAAAGAATAAAACTTTCCCTTTATGCAGAGTAGTGAACAAAGTCAAACATTTTTTAGGAATGACAGCAATGTTATTCCTTGGTCTTTTTCTTGAATAAGATAAAATGACACAAACAAAACAAGCCACAGTAGCATGACACTGTGTTCCAGTTTCTGATGATGACCTGGAAGTGAAATCACTTTTGAACCCTAGAAATCCCACTAGTGGACCAGTATTCTACAAACTCACCACTAGAGGGCGGCGAACAACAGCTATTGGGAGGGCATCGGCAAGCCCTAAGGTGTTAAGTGGGTTTGGGGGATTTACAAGGTGCTGCACAGCACACTTCCATGGGGCAGAGTACACTTCCATGGGACAGAGTACATAGATTTTTGACCCACCCCCAACTTGATCATGTATCCAACCTTCCCCTCCCTCCCCACCCTGTGATCTGAGGCCTCCCATGGTGCAGACAGAGTAAAAGTCTCCTTGGTGGTTCTTCAATCATGTTCTTATTTGGTTGAAAATAAGTAGCTTCAAGACACATTTTAGAAAAGAGAGACTGTTGCTTGCAGCATCCACATTTGCTGAAAGATTAACAAGCTTCCTATTAAAGTTCATTCTTTGTCTCATCTGAGTGGACACAGACTCCATGCGGGACTTTTGTGTGTCCCCTATTTAGATCCTCACTCATAGCTTCTGTGGAGGTTAGGACTATGCAGAGACCAAGAACCATAAGGAAAGATTGGGAGAGAGAGAGAGAGAGAGAGAGAGAGAGAGAGAGAGAGAGAGAGAGCCTCCCTTGCAGAGGCAAAAGGAACTTATGTGCATACAAAGGAGACTTGACCTGACAGGATCACACACACGAGGTCCTCATGTCCAACTCATGATCCTCAGACAAGGCATGTGCAGTCCAACACATGACCAAAGCGAGCTGACATGAATGCACATTTCTAGTGTGTGTATGCGTGAGACGGTGCACATGTGGTGCATAGGTGTCTGGAGGTCAGAGGTCGAAGAAGATGTTGTTTGTTGGGAGACTGTTCACCCAGCCTTGGAGACAGAGTCTTCTTAGCTGACCAATAAGCTTCAAGAGATGCTCACCTCCCAGTGCTGAGATGACAGGTATGCTCCAATGAGCAGGGCTTTTTCCATGGGTCCTGGGGGATTGAACTCGGGTCTTCTTGCTTGTGAGGCACTGGTTTCTATTTGCTGAGATGTCTCTCCAGGCTTACGAATGCTCATTTCTTACAATGGATCTTGAACTGAGGCAGCTTTCATTTCCAGACTGGGGTGGGTGTGGTTAATGTGAAGACTGTTTAACACTGAGAAAGCAAGCAGCCATGTCCTCCCTAGAGGGGGAGCCAGGAACCCCCTCTCCCTCCTTATTTAAAACAGAGATTTTTTTTTCTGCCACATCTCAAATACTTAAAATGAAGGGCAACTCTTTCAGAGGCTGTGCTGACCAAGCAAAACATGGTTCAAAGTGTCCCTGGACACCGTTGTACAGGACGGGCAGTGTGTGTGATTCACATCCTGTCTTCTGTTTGGGACCCTGGGAAGATAGAACCCATTGGTGTCACTGTGGCAAGCTGGAAACTCCAGCAGGAGAGTGACAAAAATGAAACACAGTGAGCTGCAGGGACTGGGTGTGGGGTGTGCCACATTCAACAACAACAACAACTGATAACAGCTGGGAATGAGCAATAGTAACTTAGGCACAGAGGAAATGCAAACTACCCAAACTAATAAGCAGATGATGGGACAACTTCATGGGTGGGGAGACTGTCTTCTTTGATTTTGGTAGACTATGAAAATGGAAAGATGGGGCCAAGTTTCTAGGTTAAACCCGAGGGTCACAAGTCAGATGTGGGGTTTGAATGTCGATGATATCATGAAGAAAAGCAAGGCACATGGGAGGCCATGGGACACAGTGGTAGGTTGGAACTTAGCTCCCTAGCCGAAAGCATCCTCATGTAGAGGGTGATTATTGCAAAACAGAGTGTTTTGTGGCCAAAGCAGGCTGTAAGGCATGGATCCTTCTCATGCAACTGTCCCCGCAACCCCACTCTGGGGGGCATCGCATGCAATGATTGTCAAGTGCTAATGCTGTCCCGAGTCCCTTCTGCTCCATTCTGGAGCTCTCCAATAAAAGCTAATTTCCCCGGAACGTTTGATCTTTTTCTTTGTCTCCTTGCAGAGTATGGCTATAGATAGAGATATAGACATATATAGATATATAGATATAAAACATACTATTCATATTTACATACAGGCATTAATAAAGTGCAAATGTTATTGGCTGTTGTAAAAATCAATCTCATTTCCTGAGGAGGTGCTAATACAGCTTATGCCATGACAACGTCCAAGGCATAGAATGCTCTCTGTCACTTAGCCCCTGCTGCTGCTGCTGCTGCTGCTGCTGCTGCTGCTGCTGCTGCTGCTCTGCTGCTGCTGTTTCTGAACATGGAGCAACTACGGGGGAAGGAGGGAGCAAGTCCTTGGTTTCCCGGAAGCATCAGTCAGGACAGCTTCCAGCTCCCTGTCTTTGGTGAGAGGGCAGCTTCTGGAGGCTTGGCCTAGCCTGCCCAGAAAAAGCTATTTGGTAGTGTTCAGCGAGCCATCTTCTGGAATCTTCTCCTGGGAGCAGCTCCTCCCAGAGAGTCTATCCGGATGCTCCAGCTCACTGAAGCGCTCTGCCACACACTGGGCGGTGAGTCGGGCCTCAGGATCATGGTCCCAGCACTCTGTCAGTGTCTCGCACACGATCTGGATGCCCTGCAGAGGAAGCGAGGTGCCCCAAGAGTATTATTGTCAGTGGTTGGTTTCTATGCAATTAGCATCAATACATTGTTATCAAATGGTGTCCTATCAGAATAGGACTCAGTCTCTCTATGAAGTAATGTGTGTGCAGATGTGTGTCAAAGGGTGATGTCAGGTGTCTTCCTCAATCACTCTCTACCTTAGTTTGTGAGACAGGGCTTCTAACTGAACCCAGAGCTTACTGATCACAGGGTTTCTCACTGAACCCAGAGCTCACTGATCACAGGGCTTCTCACTGAACCCAGAGCTCACTGACATGGGCTCCTTCTGTCAACTCTTCCTCCACACTTGTGTTACAGGTGCACACCATGGCACCCAGCTTTTTACATGGGTACCATGGATCCAAACTCAGGTCCCTATGCTCATTTGCTAACCCTTTACTAACTGTGCCATCTCTCTAGAACCTAGGGTCCACCCTTGGTGGCACACATTGTATAGACTGTAAGAAATGTATCCATTACAGGCTCTGAAAGACCCCTGTTTCCTACCTGAGGTCTGTATTCTCTCTTTCCCTTACTGTTCTCAGCCTCTTTCAGAATGTAACATGGCTGGATTATAGGTGTCTTCTGTTTGAGCAGAGATGGACACCCAAGCCCAGACTGGGACAGGCATTAGTCGGGGTTTGCTTTGTAAAAATCCCTATTTCCTAGAATGACTCAGAAGTTGTTTCCAGGACTACCAACAGTGACTCCATGGTGCTCCAGTCATTTCCAATAACATTAAGCTGGAAATGTCATGGCTGTCTTTGTATGCCAAATATACCTGATTGTAAGTTTTTTGTTGTTGTTTTGGTTTGGTTTGGTTTTGATTTTTCAAGACAGGATTTCTCTGTGTAGCTTTGTAGACCAGGCTGGTCTCGAACTCATAGAGATCCGCCTGCCTCTGCCTCACAAGTGCTGGGATTAAAGGCATTGGCCACCACTGCCCGGCTGATTGGAAGATATTTTATAACCTGTCCTTCCCCAGAGAGCTCCACCCACGGAGCCTCACCCCCATGCAGGAAAGGTTGCCCAGACAGCAAAGTGCTCTACCACAGGCTGGATTTCATTCTGCAACAATAAGAGTTTTGTTACTATTTTCAGTACTTCCAGGAAACTCAGAAGGTAAGCAAATAGTTTGAGAGGTAGAAAGAAGATCATTTCCTTCCAGGCAGAGGCCAGCAGTGCCCTTGGTGACCTCCACACAGGAGGGATAGATACATCTAACACTCTTTCTGGAGAGCTGGCATTTGCCTGCCCATACCAGCAACTTTCACAACATCTAGGGAGTTCCCCCACCCCCAGTTCCTGATGTGGAATTAATTGCATAATTCACCTAACTAATGGTATTGATTGATGGCCCTGTTAAGAGTAGAATGTTATTGTTGCTATACCAGAAACATTTATTTTGTTCTGACACAGTAATTATAGGCAGTAAATTAAATTAAATATTAAGCATTACCTTGAAATCAATAGGGCAACAAATCTCATTAAGAGAAAAAAAATGTATTATGCAAATTCTTTCCAGAATTTTATCATAATGAATAACGGCTTCATTATAAAAACTTTACAGGCGAGACCTCACGAGATGGTGGCAGGGTTTCAGTAGGACATATCACTCTGGCACCTTCTAATGCATGAGTTTTTTTCAAACAGTATTGCATTTTTAGAACCAAAGACAATTTGTCTGAGAGTCTGGTGAAGACTGTGACCCTGGGAAGCCTGGCTCACCTACTCCCTGATCACACTGCTGCCTCTGGGCCAAGGCTGGCTCCAAGCAGGCTTCCTGCCCTATTTGTCTTCCTGATTGTGCCTAGCTTGCTGTTTCTGGTTCTCACTTGAATTCCTCGTGCTTTTAGGCAAACTTACACACCGGTGGCCAGCAAGGATGAAGGACTTCATCCAAGAGAGCAATAAAGGGCTTTGCTGGGTGGAAGAGAATCACTCTTCCTGTGAGATAGAAAAACACTGTTCTAGCTCTTTCTTCATCAAGGCTCTTCCTCGGGAGTATCACACATGTGGTCAACTGTTTCTCACTCACAACCTAACCTTTCTTCCCCTCTCCTTCAACCTATGTTATGAACAGCCTTAACTTCCAATTCTTGGGAAGGAAATGACAGTGAACTGGGTGAATATCACTCAGCAGGCTGGTCTCCTGCTTCACCGGCAAGCTCCTCTCCATTGCTTTCCTGACCTCCATCATGGTGGCCAGCCTGCTCCTCCCTAGGTATGCTCATCTCCACGCACAGGCAGCAGATTGAGGGCGCCAGCCATCCAACAATCCCGCTTGCTTCCAACTGCTAAGTCTTTCTTCGTGAAGTTGAAGAACCCCAGCTTGAGAGGGAATGAGATGTAGACTCCTGACAGGAGGCACGGGAGTGGAGAGCTAGCAAAATATCTTAACCCCGAATCAAGAGGGCTTGCGGAAGGTGACCAGTGTCCTGCAGTAGTCATCCGAGAGCTCTCTGTGAATGCTATAGAAGTCTGGTGAATGCCACGGATGAGAACAAGGTCATCCACTGACACTGAAATTTTCCTTAGGAACACAAACCTAACAGGGTTTCAGGGAACCAAAGGACCCTGCACTCACAGTTAAGCTCCATCTCCCAGAACTCTCTGCAGCCCAACAATAGACTTCTCAGTGTGGACCTTCTGAGCCTTCAAAGCCAGCACTCCTTACCTGGTGGTTGAGCCAGAAGCTGGGGATTTCCGGCCTTCCTCGATCTCTCAGCACGTTGTCCTTCATGCTCTCCACACAGGGGTGCTCCCTCACCTTGGACCCAAATGGGGGTTCATAATCTTTCACTTCTGTGAAGAAAACAGGCAGACACAGGCCAGTTGAGCACAGGTAGCACATGGCCCAGGGAAGTGTGCTTGCTGAGTGCCTGGCTCGATAGTATGAGGAAATAATGGCAGAACAAGCCTGCCATGGCCAGAAGACTTTTAATGGTAGTGGATTAGAAGAAGAAGGAAGGAGTGGTGGTGGGAGGATGCTGGGAAATATTTCCCTGGTGATTGTTCAGTCCTTCTAGGCACCATGCTAATAGCTGATACCCAGGGAATAAGGCAGACAGGGACCCAGGTTTCCCATCAACGAGGGATACTCAATGAGCTTGCTCAATGAGGGGATACTGTTTCTAAGGAAGGAAACAGGTTCTTCGGATGTAGAAAAACCTTATATATTATGGGCTGAAGAGATGCGCTCAGCAGTTAAGTGCATGCACCCCTGGGAGACCAGAGTTTGGCTCCCAGCACTCAAGTCAGGAATATCCCTACTGCTTACTTTAGCTCCAGAGAATCTGATGCCCCCTTTTGGCCTTTGTAAGCATTGCATTCATGTGCATGCGTTCATATACAACATTCATATACAGACACACATAATTTAAAGAATAAAATCCTTTTTTAAAAAGTCATATATATTACAAAGCTTCTGGTCCTCGATAGGCCCACAGTATACAGACAGATTCAATAAAACATGTTAAATTTCATGGGGACATTAGCCCTACAAAATCAGACAATTCTGAAAGATGCTACAACATGGATGGTTCCTGAAGACGTTGGTAAAGGAAGTAAATCAGATACGAAAGGGAAAATATTATGTGGTCCCATGTACTGCCTCCTCCAAAACTCACACTGGAGAGTAACCACTGTCATGAGGCACCGATAGAGAGAACCAGGTGGGACCTCCATAGTTGGCTAAGGAAAATTCTTCCCCAATAAATCTCCTCATGGAGAAGCAGACAGATGACCCAAGGGCTTGTTTGGAGAGTATGAGTGTCATTACAGCCAGTCCAAAGCTGCTGTGGTGGCACAAGGTATCATCCAGCACTCGGGAGGCTGAGGCATGAGGGTCAGGAGTTCAGGGCCAGCCGGGATACGTAGGGAGACCCTATCTACAAGAAGACAGAACAAGCCAGTCTCCTCACCCTGTGATGGTGAGCAGAGGAGCACCAGGCCACACTACTGGATTCTCTGTCTCCAGAACCATGAGCCAAAGGAAAGCTTTCTCCTTTATAGATAATGACAGCCTCAGGTATTGCATTATGGCAGTAAGAAGGAGGCTAAATCTCCTTAGAGTCAAATCCACAGACATGAGGAGAGTGTCTAGGGGTTAGGAGAGGAATATCACAGGGAGGGGACAGAAAGGCGGGTTTAGAGCTTATAATCGGTACAGAGTTTCAGTGGGCAAGATGAGAAAGTTCTGGGGCTGGGGATGTAGCTCAGATGCAGAGTATTTGCCTTGCCTACACGAAGTCCTGAGTTCAAGTTCAATCCCCAACACCATGAAGGAAAGTCTGTGTGTGTGTGAGGGGGGAGGAAGGGAGGGAGAGAGGGAGGCATTGAAGGAGAAGGCTGGGCTACATTCCATATTTTCCCCTAAAATATGCAGGATCTTTGGCCTTTAGCTTCAAGATAATTTTCTTTAATGAGCAAAAATTTCAGTAATTTGCCTTCTATGCTAAGAATTGAAGATGCTTTCATGGTAAAATGGAATTTTAAAGAGGCATAGTTTGTTTTATTTTTCTCTTTCATTTTCCCAGAAGTGCACTTATCTTTTACAGCCTCACCCCAGTAGAAAAGTTGTCAGGATCTTATTTTATCATTTTATTTGCTGACTGATTTTCAAAAATAATATTCTTTGACATTTTCATACATTCATACATGGTATTTTAATCACATCCATCCACTAGCACCTCCAACTCTCCCTGGTGACCCTCTCTCTTCGTAACTTCATGTTCTCCTTCTTTGTTATCAGTCCCCCCAGGGTAATTTTGTAGTCGAGCGTTGGTGGCGCATGCCTTTAATCCCAGCACTCAGGAGGCAGAGGCAGGCGGATCTCTGAGTGTTCGAGGCCAGCCTGGTCTCCAGAGCGAGTTCCAGGATAGGCTCCAAAGCATATTTTAGAATGCAATTGCATTTATGACATTGAAATGAACAAAACCTCCTCTGTCCCCCTTGGACTTCAACCATCCCAAGAATTCATCTACACGAGTCTTAGGGTACGTTCTAAGATCTGACTTCTGGGGTTCATACACCCCTTCTTTCTCCCATTCTCTATCCTCCATCAGACTGCTGATCCTCAGGCTCAAGACTGGGGTGGAATTTTATGTCTTCCTCTACTTGGTGCTTTCCATTTTGCTTTATACACAGTAGGCATGCAGTAAATACAAAGGGGGATGATTTCAAGCAAAAGCTGAAGCTGGGAGGTCAGCGCCAGCCCCGGATGAGACACTGAGCTCATCTCCATCTTCCTCCTCTGGATCATCTTCCCTTCCTCTCTGCTCAATCCCACCAGACAGCACAAGTCCTTATTGCGCTATTCCAAGAAAGAAAGGACAAGGCGCATGGGATTTGCCTAAGATATGAAATGCTCATTAGATACTGTATTGGGCCACAGACTCTCTGTTTCTAGCTCTTTGGCTGCTGTTGCAGTCGTGTTTCTTGCATAACTAGACACCCTTTACCAAGCCAAGAATCTCGAGCAGTTCAGGTATTGCCCACGGGTCTCACTCCTCCCTCCTTCTCTGAAGAATTGTACTGCCAGATGGAAATACCTCAGCCTGGAGATGCCTGGACATGACACCTGCCAGTGATAGCCATGCCACAGGGGGACGTGTGTGTTGATTCCCAATCTTCATGCCTCTGTAAGCCACTCTAAGAGCATCTGTGAGCCACAGCTGAGGCCAGGCTCTCTAAATCATGTAGTAACCACAGCATGGCTCCTTCCCCATGAGACCTGCTCCTCAATAAACAATGCCCCCCAAATTTTCACATCAGGATCTACTTCTGGCAACGCTGGTCCAAGCCAGCAGCCCACGAAGAGGTTCCCTCTTTCTCTTTTGGTTTCTGTCTGCTCAGCTGCCCATCTGAAGGTGACTGCCACTCCACCATGAGGGCGCTCACAAAGCCCTTCCTTGAGAAGATGGCTCAGAACCATGCAGCATTATGGGTGTCTGATGAAGGACCTGTGCCTTTCCAGAAGGCTTCCTTGCTTTCTCCTCCCAGGGAACACTTCAGTGCTCCAGGGGCCACAATTCTCATGCCCATGCTCAGAAATGACAGGCAGAGCATTGCAACAATGAGAGGAAAATAGCAGGAAGAGACTCCGGCCCAAAGACTACCTCCTGGCTGACAGGCCCAAAGAGGAAAGAAAACACTTCTATGGTTAAATCGTTAACTAGGGCTAGTTTGTTCCACTCTGACTTCTAACCCCTGAAATCACTTGGGACAGCTCATCTTCACTGGAATGACCTGGGAGTTGCACTGCTGGGGGTGTCCCTGAGGTTCAGGGAGGAGAGGCCCCTGCTCTGAGTGTGTGCAATACCATCCACTGGGCTCCAATTCTAAATGAAATAAAAAGGCAAAAGGAGAACTAGAGTTGAATACATACATTCCTTCCCTGCTTTGGGATAATGGACACAGAACATGACCATCAGCGAGAGACCTCGTGTTCCTGTATCCATGATGGAGTGTACCCTCAAGCTATGAGCCCACATAAACCTTTTCCTTTTTTAAGTTGCTTAGGCCACAGCTGTCAATCACGGCAGTTATTTTCATGTTTAAGTCCCATGTGGGCCACACGAGCTTCCATGGAGCATGGGAGAAGGTGGCTGTGGAGATGAGGTACAGGAAGCCTCAGTGGAAAAGGAGGTGAGGCATAAATTGTTTTCCCAAAGCAAGGGGAAGCTTAACCAAGTTCCCCTGTTTTCCTGAGACCTTGGGAACTTCCTGTGCCCTGAAGGCCTACTTCCTCTCTTTGGGTACACTGGGGAAGGGAGGTCAAGGGTCAGCAAGATGCTGGCAGAGACTAACTGTGCCACACAGGGAGGATCTGAGAGCTTCGCTGCCTTCTGACTTTAAAATGGAAAAACAAGGTATGGTCAAAGAACATCACGTGACCCAAACTGGTAGGTGCCTGTCCCTTGAGAGTGACCTTTCAAGAGGGTACAGTGGTACATACCTGTCACCTCAGCTCTGTGGAGGCTGAGGCAGACGGATGCTATAAATCTGAAGCCAGCTAAGGCTTGACAGTCAGTCTGGGCTAGAAGTGAGACGGCCCATCCCCCATCTCAAAAAAATCAATCACCAGTCAATAATAACTCAGGTTAGGGTGGGGGCAAGATTTGAAATTCATACATATTTACATTGACTTATTTATGCATTTGAGTACAAGCCATCGTACACTTCTGGAGGTCAGAGGTCAGGGGTTAGAGGACAACTTCTTTGGGAGTTGCTCATTCTCTCCTTCTACCACATGGATCCTGGGACTCGAACTCAAGAGCTCAGGCTTGGTAGCTGGTGCCTCCACTTTCTGAGCCATCTTGTATCCTTGTGCACACATTTCAAACTGACTTTTTCTTTCACCCCTGAAAATGCCACATTTGCACAATATGTGCTCCCATAGCAGCTAACAACACATGCTAGACTTTTTTCTTACAATGGGTTTTGTTGGTTCTTCCTGGGGTCTCTCCCCTCATTTTGAACACCCTAAGCCCTGACCTTACTTTCTTCTCTTGTGTCCACAAGTGTGCTCAGATGACTCACGTCTAGCTGTGTGGACACTTGCCACTCAGCCCATGTATCTAGTATCTGCTTTGGGCACAAAGCAGAGGGGTTGGTTGCTACTTTTGTGGCTACTCAGGCCATCCTATCTGCTGTTCTCTGAGCCTGCATGGGGACCTGGGGACATGAGCAGTACGTGGAAGGCCAGTCCCTCCTGCAGGGAGTTTCTAAATTTGCTTCAAGTTTTGGCAGGTGTCCACCTTGACTCTGAATGAGAAGGCAGAGCCCCGAGTAAAACTATGAAC